TATAAATACACATGATACAGTCCGCAAGACATGACTTTTTAAATTGTTCATTATTCTCAATTATCCATTTCTGGCTCTTTTCCATTAGCTAAATAAGTAAGAGTGACAGAACTATATTGAGCAGACTCTTCCTATGGAGCAATTTTCTTTTTAAGAAACATAAACATTTTTTAAAAAACAGGCCAGAAGGTCCTCTACGAATATAAATGGCATCATTTAACCACGCTGGCTTTGTCTGCCCAAAAGGTGTAAACTAGGTCTTCATTTGACAGAGTCGGACACAAGAGCACCCCCAACAAATAGCAAGTCCTGTTAAAGGCATGACAATTAGTCCGGGTGAAGAAGGCCAGAGCCCAGGAAGCAGCAGTGATGGAGAGAACATACAATGGCGGATCGGTGACAGGTGTATGTGCTGCGCTCCACACCATCCTGGGGCAGGTCGGTCCTGGAGAAATGCTGAGACCTGAGCAGGTCTGACCACTGGGGTTCGGAGGAATACAGCTGAGGAAAGAGACATTAGGGGGATCATAAGAATCTCTTCTTTAACAGGATTAACAGACTTTCTAAATGACCGTAGGCAAAAGCCACTTAACCCTAAATAGGAGTAACATCTCATTTGAAAAATGAAAATACCATCTATTTCACTGGGTTACTGTGAAGTCAGACTAAGTAGCCATCAAAAGACTGAAGAATCAATGAATCACTTATGTAAAAGAGCCTCACTTATATTAATTTTTAAAAATAAATGGTAGCATTTTTCCTCCTTCCATTTATTCATCCAACGAATATTTACTACATACAGTACTGTGCTCTGCACTGGAACAAGAGAGATAAATGACAAAGTCTTTGCCCTCAAGGAATTCAATCTAGTTTGGAAAAGTTCATCTATTACCTTCTTTCATCTCCACTTGCACTCTTGAATCCATCTCTTTCTGTCCTCTTTTGGATCCTGCCTCTTAGTTAAAAAATAGACAGACCTAAGTTCACCCAGCTACACGTCTTATTAGCTGTGGGACGATGAGCAACTAAGTTAAGTAGGCTCTCTAAGCCTCAATTTCCTCATTTGTAAAATGGAAAAACTTCACACTACTGTTGAAAATTGCATAAAATAATGTATGCAAGAGGCTTAGCACAGTTCCCAGAATGTTATAAGTACTCAAGAAAAGGTAATTTCTTTTTATTATTATCATTATTTTTACCAGTCAAGTGCAGTAGTGAGAAGGGGGTAAAGAATAGAACGAGGAGTTCAATATGTAACTCACTGTGAGCAATCAGTTCAGATAACTCACAATCTCACTATCTTCAGACGTGGTGGAGGTTCGGGGGGGAAGGTAACTTATTATTATTTTTTCTCCTGTGCCTTTAATTTCTCCTTCCTTCTCTTTGGCCATTTACCCTCAACTAATATAATATACTTAAAACTTCTCTTAATTCCATGTCCTCTAACTAATGCCCATGCACTCTTTCCCCTGCTGTCTTTCTTCCTTCCTTTCCAAACGTGCTTCTTTAAAGCACTGTCCAAATTATCTCTACTTCCTTGCTTCCCAATCATTCATCAACTCTGAGACTTGTTTGTATCCTCACTGTAGTTTTGGTAGGTCACCAATGATCTCCATGTGGCCACATCCAACAGGTATTGTTCAGTTTTAATCTTATTAGGTCTTTCTGCATTACCTAGCATTAGTAGCCTCTCCTCCCTTCTTTTTTCTGACAGAACTTTCTTCTAGTTCTCCTGATCATCTGAGCATCTCATATCAGTCTTCTCCTGCATTCATTCTTTTTTTTTTTTTTTTTTTGAGACAGAGTCTCGCTTTTGTTGCCCGGGCTAGAGTGAGTGCCGTGGCGTCAGCCTGGCTCACAGCAACCTCAAACTCCTGGGCTCAAGCAATCCTTCTGCCTCAGCCTCCCGAGTAGCTGGGACTACAGGCATGCGCCACCATGCCCGGCTAATTTTTTCTATATGTTTTTAGTTGTCCGATTAATTTCTTTCTATTTTTAGTAGAGACGGGGTCTCGCTCTTGCTCAGGCTGGTTTCGAACTCCTGAGCTCAAACAATCCGCCCGCCTCGGCCTCTCAGAGAGCTAGGATTACACCGCACCCCACCTGCATTCATTCTTAAATGTTGATTTTCCCAGGAGGGAGGACAGCCCGTTGCTCTTCTCACTTCCTGTGCCCATCCCAGGCCATTTCTTCCACTCTCATGGTTTCACCTACTGCCTATAAACTGATAACACACAAATCTCCAGCCTTAATATCTCTTCAGAGCTTCAGTTTAACTGCCTGCAAGGCCTCTCCACACTATGCCAAAAACTGAAATCATCCTTCAACTCACCTTCTCGTCCAAACTTGTTTCCCATTTGTATGTTCCCCAGTTTATTTAATGACAGCCCAGGCGTTTTTAATCTAACTCCATAATCTGGAAGTCATGAGGGACTGTCCCCCTAAATTCAATTTTCAAATCCTATTGACATATCTAACATTTCCTGAGAAAATCTTTTTTTCTTTGCAGTACTACTTTCCAAGTTCAAGACCCTACCTTGCCTGAACTACTTCAACGGTGTCCTATCTTGTCTCCCTGACTTCTGTCCTAGTTTGTCCCATCTCCCATCATAGCCATGTCCCACATTGTTCCCAAAGTGGTCAGTCTAAACTGCATTTCTGTGTCAAACCTTGCAATGGTTACCCTTCACAGATAAAGTACACACTCCTTACGAGGCAAGTTCTTCTGTGATTTGGTACCAGTTCACCTTTCCAGACTCATCTCACTTCTCACTTTCATCTCCATGCTCTAATCATATCCAATTTGTTTTGTTTTCTCACATATCATGCAGTTTCTATGTCTTCATTATTGCTTTTAATCATTCAGTAGTTATAACTGTAAGGCCCTTCTTTCCTTGGCCTTTTTTATCCTCAAGACTTACACCTCCTTCAGGAACCAAGACAGGGTAATACTTTCAAAACACAGAGTTAAAAATACACTTTCTCTGTACCTGCACAGTAATTTATGTACAGCACAACAGTTTCTGCTTTATGTTAAATTACGCTTCCATGTGGTTTTACTTGTAAGAACGACAGCTCTTCGAGGGCAGGAAATACGTTTTATTCACATTTGTATCCCAGCCTTACTACCGTGCCTGCTGTAACACAAATGCCCAGTCAAATGATTTTCGAACTGATCCCTTCACCTTCACACTCAAACACCAATTCCAGGGGAAATAGGCAAGACCAGGCATTGGAACTCAGACTCTTAACCCTTTTCCCGATTCAGGGTGGGAGTATTCTAAGGACAGTGAATGGGGAGAAAAGAGAACTCCTATGCGGAATAGTCTCAACAAAACTGCAACTTCCAGAGGGCGATGTTTTTCAGATTACCCCATCACCACGTCAGCACACAGCAGGGACATATGCGCTCGGGTAAACATTTGAGCCCCGTTAGTGGTGGTCATTGCTTTGATTTCGGCAGATACCTGAGAGGGATTCCCTTCTCAAGAAGTCTCACCTGGCAGACAAGTCTTCACTCCCACCCGCTTCCCCGGCTGGAGGCTGCGCTAAGCACCTCGCGCTGCCAAGACCCCTCACCTCTGCCTCCTTGGACACCGCCGAGGACACTCAGCCTCCAGAGAACCGCCATATTGCTCCAGACGGCTCAAGGTCATCCATCAACCCGGAAGCACTTACGCGACAACTCCGACAACCGATGACAAAATAAAACCGGGGGAGGGGGGACTAAAACGCTAGGTGAACCGGAAGCAGGTAGGCGGTGCGCGCCGACCACGCATGCGCAGACACACTGGTCGGGCGGTCCGGATCCTTTTGCTTACAATGGCGGAGCTGGGTGAAGCGGATGAAGCGGAGTTGCAGCGCCTGGTGGCGGCGGAACAGCAGAAGGCGCAGTTCACTGCACAGGTGCGGGGACCGGGACCAGCCCTGAAGGGTTCGGGGAAAGCAGGGTGAAGTACACCCGCGGAGCTCTGTACACTGGCGGCTCAGTGAGGCCGCCCGCCGCTAGATCTCGACTGCTTCCCATTCACCTCACAAAAACACGAGTGATGGCCCTCCTGCAGCTGGTGACTAGTAGTGTTTAGGTGCCGGCTAAGCAAGAGCAGCGTGGAGAAAAGAGAAGGTGTAAAGCAGAGAGAAAGGTTTGGCTGACTAAGGAGCACTGGAGCCTCGTTAGCCGGCGACCTGTCTGGGCTGGCATTCGTAAGATCTGGGTTCTAATCTTCCCTCTGCCCCTTGCAGGCCACGTGCCCCTAAAAAGATACCCATCCACTGTGGGGTTTGGTTTCGCTGTCGCCCACTGTCTCACTGGATTGTTAAGATCATATGCGATAATGTACTTGAAAACGATAGCGCACTAGAACATTGGATAAAGGGGGGTGCTCTGAAGTATTCAGTGTAGACTATTGGTTTAGAACAATGGTTTGGAGCCCTTAGAAATTGTTCGAATCTGGCGTAGTCCCTTACTGAATATTTGACCTTGCAATGATTATTTAATCACATCTCTTAAATGGAGGTAATCATAGCCATCCTTATAGAGAACTGTTTAGTACCCAGCCTCCCAAATAGTAAGCTCTTGGTAAAATGGTTGTTTTCTCCCTTTTTTCGGGGGGAGGAGTGCGTGCAGGGAGGGTGAGTAGCAAGAACCCTGGTTAGAAATCCTTGGGTCTTGAACATTCTTTTGCAAGCGCACGCATGTTCTGTAACTTTGTTATATTTGATAAGCTTCATCAGATTCTCAAATGTGTCCATGACCCCAAAAGGCTAAGAACTTAAGAATTACCTTCTCTAAGAGGTAAGTTGGGAATGCGATGAGTGCAATTGTTTGGGGGAATGAATTGGCACCCTACCTTCCTAGTTTACAATGGTGCTGGCTGCTTTGGGGAATATAAGAGAGGGTATTAGTCCTAGCTGGGAATTTACAATCTATAGGGATGAGGATCTCGGCCAGTATTGGTGACAAATTAAGAAACGAAAACAGCCCAAAGTGACTCCATGGTTTGTTGATTGAAAGAATGGTTTTGTCAGGTGATAAAAAGGAAATTAAAAAATGGACAGAGTTTTTTAGGCCTATCTGCAGACCCCAGTGATTACTATTTTTCTTTCCTCTTAGGTGCACCATTTCATGGAGCTATGTTGGGATAAATGTGTGGAGAAGCCAGGGAATCGCCTAGACTCTCGCACTGAAAATTGTCTCTCTAGCTGTGTGGACCGCTTCATTGACACCACTCTTGCCATCACCAGTCGGTTTGCTCAAATTGTGCAGAAAGGAGGACAGTAGGCCATCCCCTGGGAGAATGACAGAAGAAGCAAAGGACTTGTTATTAAAGCAGATTGAAGGGTCAGCAGGGGAAGGTTGTTAACCCATTGTCAGGTCTGTTGGTGCTAAAAAGTAACAGATCAAATGTTCAAAAAGTGAAATTTATTTATTTGGAATTCAGAAATTCCAGGTTGTATCACACCAGTTATTCAATAAATGTGAATTCTCCAACGCTTTTTTAATTCCATTTTAGGATTTAATAAAGCCTCTGATTGGCAGGAACACTAGAAATAAATGTTCACAGCCAGTAGTGCAAATGGGAGGTGGTAGATTTTGAAGAGCCACCCCAACCCATAATTAAGGGAGTTGGAAGAACCATCAAAGCCTAAGGTATAGAACAGAAATTGGGGTTGAGAAAAGTTAAGAACAGAAAACAGCTTTATTGCTTATACATGACCAAGAAAAGGTTAAACCTGGCCAAAAAAAAACAAAAACAGGCAAGATGTGTATTCCTTGGGAAAGCAGTAAACCTGCTAGTATGGGAGGAGGGGAAGGTCAAGACCCAAACAGAGACAAGTTTCTGGAAACTTGCCTTGTTCCTCTGGCCCGTTTTCCTGAGTCTCTGCTTGGAGTCAGTACTTTTAGAGTACAGAAACAATGCTAAAAAATATATGCTAAAGACTCCTTCCAGCAAAGATTTTACTTGCTCCAGGAACAAAACAGTTGTTTTAGGTTAAGAGGTAGTAATTATAGACTGTTCTGCCTCCTTTAAGCCCCTACCAGTCCCAAACATAAAAATATACACCATGAAACATTGACAATTGCGTACCAAAGTACTGATATTTCAAATAAATATCCCAAAAGGGAGCACCAGCTCATAGTCAAGGGATAGGGCACCTCTGGCCAACCACATAAGACCAAGTACTTTATTAGAAATGTTCCATAAAGAGAACAAATTTAATAGAACTATAATATACCACTTTGTGGAATGTCATCGTAGTTGTATTTTATTGCTGGTGTCTTATACTGTCATGCAACCATGAAGTAATTCTGTATTAACATATGGGGAAAGTAAAGCCAAGGAGGTTAACTTAACCTGCTCTGGACCTCCTCATAACCCATTGGTGGCAGAACCAAGACTAAAAGTGTGCGTTTTCAAGCTTTTTACTTAGCCCACAAAGTGACAACCAGAAAAAAGGCAATGTGTCACTTGATCTTTTCTCCCATAGTGAAGAGATTCACTTGTGTTCTGCCAGCCTTTCAGTTATATTTTGGTTTCTTAAGAATTAACGTAGTAGGGATCACAGTATAGCAAGGGAAATAATGTGGTCTCTGCTTGGTGCTTTAATCCAAAGACAGAAGTGGATATGTCCCTGAGAAGCCTGTTTCATTTTGGAAATGATTCAACTTAGTTTCAGGGAAAACTTCATTAACAGATTGAGAAATGAACAAGGAAGACAACATTTAAATGGCAGTTGTTGCCCTGAATCCTGTTCAGAGCACCATTTTGACAGCATTACTAACTCTTATTTCTTCCCCATTTGGTAGAGAGGGTCATCTGAAGAAATAATTTTGAACACAAGTCTGTATAGGTAATATATAGCAACGGAACTAAAAAACCATTTACTAGCCAATTACTATGTTTTGGGGCATACTAAGTGTAGCTCGAGACCCTGCCCAGCAGGGAAATTTGAGAAAACCCTAGTCCCTTCTAGTAACAGTTGTCTATGGATGTTATCATGAGGGGGAAAGGTTTGTTTTTAAGCCCATTTCCTCATTAAGTAAATTGGACCATACCTGTGGGGTCAAAATACAGAAGGATCAAAGCACCAAGGCTAAAGACCAGCCAGTTGTGACACCTGCTATACAAACAAAGAGAGCAACATAGTGTTCCCTTGTCATACCTTTCTGCACAGGACTGGTTCCAATCCACCTCTTAATTCAAGCCCTTGATTTCCCCAAATTCAATATTCCAATTGGTATACCCAGGTCATTATTGGATTCAGCTTTCTGGGTCCTTTAATTTGCTATATATGTACTCTACACTAAATGTGATTCATTGCAAAAAATAATCTCTTCAAGAAACCTTCATAACAAAATACCAGATTCCCTATTACCAAGAAAAGGGGATCAAGTTTAACAGGCCAAAATAGAAGACAAGGAGTCTGTCAGAACATATATAGATGGCACCAGACAGCTCTGACCTCAGGCCCCGTGCTGAACGGGAGTCCCTGGCAAAACCCCAAGGAGTAAGAGCTGTAAATAACCAGTAACATGGGAAACAAGAATGTTCCTTCTCCCATTTAGTCATCCTCTGAGCTCTCAGCAGACCTTTCATCTGTAGCCACTTTCCAATTTGTGCGTTTATTTGTCCTCTCCTGTATTTCATTGTTAGCTACAGGGCTATGGACTTTTTTATCTCTCTTTTTCCTTTTGGTTTTCTTAGAGTCTCTTTCCTCACTTTCCTCAGAACTGCTGGATGCTGAATCATCTGACTGGGAAGTGTCATTTTCTGCCTCTAAGAATAAAGCAGATTTTTTGAGAGACTTTTTCCTGGATTTTTTCTTGCGCTTATGTGGTTGTTTCCTTTTCCTGCTACTAGAAGCCCCAGTTTCTTCTGAGAACTCGCTTGAAGAATCTGCTGTTATATCCGTGGCTTCTTTTTTGCTTTTCTTCTGTTTTTTGTGTGACCTTTTTTTCTGCTTTTTTTTATGGGATTTCTTTGACTTCTTGTGTTTGCGGGATTCATGGGTAGATGATTTTACCTGGGGAGATGTTTTTTTTCCATTGGCAATATCTTGCTGATCACTACTAATAAAAAAGTGTAAAAGAGAAACTTTTATGTAAAAAAAGAAATAGTGTATTTATATTTCTATTATTCTAGATAAGAAACTGGGATTAACATCTGAATTTTAAATCAGAACTGTGACATATACTATAAGACTTTATTATTTTCATTGAGTTTTTGTTTCCTCATCTTTAAAATGAAGATAAACATTCTAAGTTACCAGCCTGGGCAACAGCAAGACCTCATGTCTACAAAAAAGAAAAATTAGCACTCTGGGAGGCCGAGGCAGGCGGATTGTTTGAGCTCAAGAGTTCGAAACCAGCCTGAGCAAGAGCGAGACCCCGTCTCTACTAAAAAAATAGAAAGAAATTAATCGGACAACTAAAACTATATATAGAAAAAAAAAAATTAGCCGGGCATGGTGGCGCATGCCTGTAGTCCCAGCTACCCGGGAGGCTGAGGCAGAAGGATTGCTTGAGCCCAGGAGTCTGAAGTTGCTGTGAGCTAGGCTGACGCCACGGCACTCTACCCCAGGCAACACAGTGAGACTCTGTCTCAAAAAAAAAAAAAAAAAGAAAAGAAAAGAAAAATTAGCCAGGCATGGTAGTATGTGCCTGTAGTCCCAGCTACTGGGGAGGCTGAGGCAGGAGGATCGTTCGAGCCCAGGAGTTGGAGGCTGCATGAGCTATGATGACACCATTGCACTCTGGCCCGAGCAACAGAGTGAGACCCTGTCTCAAAAAAAAAACCAAAAAATAATTCTAAGCTGCCATAGTGAGTTACTGTATGGAATACTACATGTAAAAACCAAAATGCTTACAGACATGGCCAAACACCAACCAGAGAATGGTGAAATAGTGATTCCCTACCAACTAAATCACCTTTTTTCTTCTCTAGCTACATTTTCAGTGGCAAATACTATATCCTTTGTAAAAGTTAGGAAATCAACTTATAGTACAGACTTTGTAATAATCTTAGTTTCTTTCTTTTAGTAAGCCCATTTATCTTACCTGTCTGTTTCAAATTCTTCAGGGTATAATTCTTTATAACCACTGTGGCCCCATCTGTAAGAGGACATGTTACATGTACTATTAAAGCAATGCATACATTTTTGGAAATTAAAAGAAAATTAGATTTTGGAGGACATGCATACACGGACATACACATAAAATGAAGAAATAGAGATATGGTAGACCCAAGCCCATATAGCTCAGAAACAGCTAGATTTTATGTACTATATATTATCATCTCAGATACAAAAGATTCTTTTGTCCATTTGTAAGGGAATTTGCCATTGTCTTCCTTAAGAAACACTAAAGAACTGTCACACTCTGCTTGTTAGCTGTGAAGGACTTTTCCAAAAACACTTCATAATATAATGCTGACAATTGTTTTTAAATAACAACTTTACTGAAGGATAATTCACATAACATAGAATTCACCCTTTAAAGTGTCGTGCCTCTAGCCCATGACAACCATTCATTTACTTTCTGTCTCTATGGATTTGCCTATCACATAAATAGAACCATAAAATGTGTATGGATATATCACATAAATGGAATCATACAATATGTGGTCTTTTGTGACTTGACTTCTTCCACTTAGCATAATGTTTTCAAGGTTCATCCATGCTGAACCACTTATCAGTACTTCATTCCTTTTACTGCAAAATAATATTCCATTGTACAGATAGATATACCATATTATGTTTATCCATTCATCAGTTGATAGACATTTGGACTTCCACTGTTTGGCCATTATGAATAATGCTGCTATGAATACTTGCGTACAAATTTTTATGGAGACAATTTTGACAAGTACACATTTTCAGGCTAATTATTAATGGTCATAGGAATTAGTCACAAACCTGTCTGGCATATTAGCTTCATAATCATATAACTTCTTGTTCCAGGATTTAGCCTTAAGAAAATCATCTTCCAGTGTCCCAGAAATGTCATTCTTTGGCCTCCAATAGCCTCTTTGACTTTCTTCATCAAAACCATCACTACGCATCCGGCTACAAGAGAAAGCAGAACTTTTAGATTTAAAAGCAATCTGTGAGTTTATGGAACATCATGCACAAAACTCATGGAACAAGCTGAGGGGAGAACAAAAAAACCTGATACTGTTAAAAAATGTAAAAGATATCATCTGTTTCTCTCTATACATTTGTACGGTCCAGTGGGGAAAAAATCTACCCTTGCTGAGTATAGACAAATTCACTTCTGGACTATAGCTCACTCACTCACTCAACTAGGAGGGTATACAAAGAGGGAAACAGAGCATAATCACAGCTAGGGACACTTCAAACTACCCTAGATTCTAAAATACACTTTCCTTCCTGCAAACCGGTAACTTCCTGTTAGTGAGGTCATAGTAACAGTGGGAACAAGCCCTAACCCAGAACCTCTGATCCAGCCTCTGTTTACGGTGTCCACTAATCAGCCAGTAAGTCAGCTAATCAGTTAGCAAAAATTTTTAAGGGCCTCCTATGTGCCAGGCATTGTTCTAGTTGGGCTGGTAGGAATATAACAGCATATGAGACTATCAGAATCCCTGCCCCTAAAGAGATTAAGTTTTAAAGATTACTCACTTTTTACTGTCAATTTTTTAAAAATTTAATTAATTTTTATAAAATATTTATTCACCATGACAGGAATTAATAGTCTATTCTAAAACAGCAATCATCT